CTCTTTCCCCTCCACCTCTCTGAAGGGAAAGCTTCATTATTTGTGCAATCAATTCCGTTCCACGGCAGGAACTTAGCACATGCCGCCAACTGAATTGCTATACATTTACCCAAGGCCTAATGAAACACCATTGACACACGCACCGATAAGCTTTAAAGATGTCCTTCCTCACTGATACAGGACTCTGCTTTATTTTGGCAAGTTTCACAACTCTAAATGTAACTGGTGCTCTGCAACCCGAGCAGAGCCATCCTGTTCAGAAAGCAGCACCTACCAGCCCAGGAATTCCAGACACTGCAACATGAAAAAGCCGTAAAGAACTACCTGCATAGACTTGTTGCCATACCTTGGGCTGAAGAAAAGAATACTCATTATCACAGCACTAGATACCCTTCAGGGGCTTCAAAATTCTGTTTTAACAGCACAACCTTGTACCAGTCTGAAAATACTAATACTACTTATTTCTCAGCTGTGTCTACCGTGGGTGTACACAAAACCAGGAAGTCAGAATGGTTTTGGAGGAGCAGTATAATACGGTTTTCCTCTTTTAGGATAAGCGTTATATCTGTAAAACACAATACATTATTGTCCATCTCGCTTATGTTCATCTGTTTGAAAACAGAACAGAATAACTACAGCAAAGCCTTCTGCCACAGTCGCCCACCAGAAACTGGACAAACACCAATCTTAGAAATCCATAAAAATCCCACGTGAAACTAGCGCTTACCATTAAGAAACTAATTTGAAAACAAGCCAGTCAAAACAAGGAGAAAAACCTCAGGAGAACTCATGCTAAGTTTTTTAAATTTCTTTTTCCTCTTAGTTTGAAAATCTCGATTTCTTTTTTACAATGAATTGACAAGAAGGCAGCAATATTCACACCGGTGAAAAGGCCTGAACTCTGAACTGTTCTCTCAAATAAGATACTACATTAATACCTCCAATTACCCAGACAAAAACTAGGTTTCTCACCAAGTGAGGATGCACACACAGCAGTTCTTAAAACATTTGTATTTCTTCATTCTGTTTCCCACAACAGTCTGTTACACTTGGGAAGGGTGTGATTTTGCATAAACACTTTTAGGTTGCAGAGATAACAGCAGCAGGACCCATGGATATCACCAGCCGAAGGGAGGATGACACTGAGCAACAGTTGGTTGCCACTTCAGCTGTGTTTCTTGGACACACAGTATCATTTTGTTTAGATTAAAAATCAAACGCTTGTGAAACACTTATCTAGGTACCTTAAATTAACAGTTTCAAACCCTCAGTTAATCAGTTCAACAGGAATTCAGGCATGTAAATTCTGTCCTCTCATGGCAAACAGGTGTCTTACGCATTGCACCAGACAACAGGAAAACCCCAATTTGAGTGATTTCATGCCGAGACTGTACACCTTCCACCCTTCCCCTCGCCACCACTCAGAGCAGGGACTCCCTCTGTCCTGACACAGAAGGGACAACCCCTGCGGTCACGTTGGTTGGTCTCCTGGCATTTGGGGAAAAAACCAGCAATACCTTCTGAATGCCGTACTTCAATTAGGGCAAGCTGGAAGGCCTCTGTTGTAAGCTGCTAAAGCACCCATCTTTGGGTGCTTTGCCTGAAGAAGCATGTTAAAACACACAAAACTACAACCACAGATTTATGTCTTCACGTGCACATCTCGCATTAATGCTCATGTCTTCATATTAATGCTGCATTAATAAACAACTCCAGTAGACATATCTTGCTTGTTTTCACCACCTAAGAGCAGCATAAGAGCACTTTACTAATGACTAAGCCAGCTCTCTCACACAGTATTACACCTCTGAGGGGAACAGAGCAAAATCTGGTCCAAGCAGCAATGTGATTTTAGCTAATTTGAAGACACTGATACTTCCTTTAGCTGCAAAGGGGACAAATATTCCCCTGACCAGAACACTGGATTTTTAACGACCTTACCTTCCGTAGGTTAGGCATCCTACTGCTCCCCTCTTTTCATTACAGCACTACCAGTTAAATATTTTCAGATGCTATAGAAGAAGAGGCAGTATCTGCCAAACCAGCATAAAAGCACGGTAAATGCAAGAAGCTTATACTCAAGTTTTTCACATCTCTCTCATGCAATAATAAGGTTATAACCGTGATGTTCTACCGATGTTAAATGATGCAATGTTATTGTTTTGCCCAAATGACATCAGCTGGTATAAGAAAAAAGAGACCAGACAAGCTTCTGGGTATATATTCCAGCCTTCAATACTAGAAGTCATAATAAAAATATAGTAACTATGCAAAATAAAAAAAAAAAAAATATGAGAATGAAAGCACTAAAAATATTGAATAAACCATTATAATAACCCAGCTGACCACTCTCAGAGATGTAGAATGGGACAATTTTAACTCTCAAGGTGGACGCAACAGTTCCCTGCACCCTAATTACTTGCCTTCACATCAAAAGGCAGCCCTGGAGTATTCTGTCTGCGTGAGCAGAAGCAGAATACGTTAAGTTTAGCTTACTGCCAGCCACAAGTCACAAGGCAACACACATTCAAACTGGAACTGCGAGTTTAACGAATATCAGACTTCTCTCAAGACAATCCCGAAGAATCTCCATGACCAGCTTTGGCAACAACTCAACTACAGGAGCCCAGAGCTCAACTCCTCACAGTACTTTCAGTGAGACACGTACCAATTTAAAAAGCAAAGTAAAGCGCACAACAAAAGCAATACGCATTTACCTTTAGTTTGGGGGCTACTGGAGTCTTCCATAGAAAGCTTCAGTTGCTGTATGAACTCACTGCCATACACACTCCTTTCCTGCCAGATGTTAAGCAATCGTTCCAAGGGCTTTTTGCAGCCCTCATCTGCTTCTCTGTTCAAAGATTAGAAAATAATTATCGTTCAGCTGAAAAACATTCCTTATGTTCTAAGAGAGCATCTTCTGAACTAGCAGCTGCATCCACTGTAATACTTGCACATTTGGAGAGAATCTTTCTCATATTGTGTATGACAAACCGTGCAAAACACATTTGTGGCCAACTTTCCCCTTTTATTGGGACAGATTGCCTGAAAGTGCCCCACATCCCACCCCAAAGTAAAAGCAGGAAAAGTTTTGAAGGAAGAAACTTGCTATCATTCAGAATTTGCAAGAAGAGTTATAAAATACCCCCAAGTTGACACGTTTACAATTCAGCGTATTAACTTTAAACAGTTGTTTCAGCCAGTAACATCCCAATTAAAAAGCAGGTTGTTTGGATCATTAGGCACTTAAACGTATTCATACAGCGCGCTGAAAGTTAGACAGCCATCCAGAACAGCACACCACTAAACACACAGAACGCTAAAGTTGTTTAGTTGAGATAACAGGAATTATTATACTATTTAGGGAAAACCTTAACTAAATGATAGTCCATTTTTGATAGGATGGGAGCTGCATCACTTCTTCCCTTTTATGTATAAAACTCTTTCTTCCCCTACCAAGGAGACTAATGATCAGATAACCATTAAAAAGAGCAATGCAAAAAGAAACAGTGCTCAAAGCGGAAGACTGATGAGAACTCGGTGACCCAAAACATCAGCTCTTTTAAAGTCTTCCGACAACGGTGAAGAGCCATTCATTATGTGGCTGTAATAAACACATGCAACCGTTCAGTTTCACTACCCACGAACAGATCCGCAAGATCTTTTGGTAACAATTAAAATAAAGTACATAGGAGTTGCATGCAGAGAACAAATGTGTAAAGCTGTGCGGGGCCGATTCACGTACAAACAAGTTTCCCCAAGGAGAAATATTAACGCTAAACAGTTCCTAGCTGCAAAGGAGTCAGAATCCAATCTCTACTAGAGAGAGCGTACAAGCATCCCTGAGACTTAAAAACACACCCCAGAAAACAACAAGATCCAATTGAATTCAACTTTGTATAACAAGAATGCAAATCTCTAGAGAGAAAAGTTGAAGAAATGCATAACAGCAACATACCTGGCAACATGAGAAAAAGCATCCACAAGAACAGATTCAAATTCCCTAGTAAATTCAGGACCTTTCCTCTTACTGTTCTGGATGACATCATTTGCTAAATATAGGAAAGTAAGCTTCCTACTCGATTTTGCTGGGAAAGGGAAAAAAAAAAGAAGGGGGGGGGGGGAAGGGGGGAGTTTGTGAGAAAAAAAAAAAAAAAAAGGGGGGGGGGGGGGGGGAAGAGAGAAGAGAGTTTGCATTTATTTCTCACTTCTTTCACGTGGAATCATTAACATCATTTTCAAAGTTACTTACAGCTTTTTAGCCTAAAAACAAAGTTCAAAATATTTGCATGTTACCAAGGCAAATCGGAGGCCTTCAAGCCAAGCAGCTCTTGATCTCCTTACTTCTGCTCGGGTTTTTTTCTAACTAATTTATAAAACAAACATGAGCTTAATACTTTTTGCGCACAGTGACGCATCAACTCTGAGGAAAGCTGCATAAGAAACAAACTTTGAACACATGATTAAAACGAGCTGTTCTAGCCTACCAGTAAATTAATGGAACAACAGACTTATTTTTCATTAATTAACTTCAGGAAAAAAACTCAGTATAGAGCCACTTAATTCAGAACAGAGTGAAATTGCACGAGAAAGCTATTGTAGAGACTCAAATATTTTTCCAGACAATGCCGTGCCAAAGCAACATTAAATTTCTTCCGTATACCATAACATTTCCCGTCTTGACACCATCAGTTTCTATTTTACTACGGCCAAAATCGGTGGGAGATGCTGTTCTCCAGAGCGCACTGGCCGCAAATACGCACGCATAAAACAGAAAACAAAAGCACTTATTTCCACAGCAGGCCAAACTCAGGTCTTTCAAAAATTCATACTTAATATTCTGTAAACGGCAACTAGCAATCGCATGAACGACTCTGGCTGGGACTTCACCAGCGTCACCCGCTCCAAGGGGCCGACGCTGCTGGCTGCCCAGGCGAGGGGGTGACATTGGCCGCTTTCACCGCTGCCCCTGGGGACAGGGCATCAACACCGGCAGTGTCCCTGACGCTGTTATGAAGCAGTTTGAGAAGTTACCAAAAGTTAAGTTAATCTGCAAGGGGGGGAAAAAAAAAAAAGCACAAAATATTTCTGGATGATATTACCAAACAGTTCTTAACAGCTCTCCGGGACCACTTTTGCTGTGCGTTATCTCCCAGTCCCTTAGTGCAATTCTGTAACAGGTAAGCGGTATGAATCCAAAACCCCAATTTAAAAGCAAAACATAAAAGCTAAACGGCCAACAAAGCACTTCACGGTTAACTCGAGCACACCCAGGGGAAAAACGCTTAGTGCATCTCTGTTCTACAGCCAAGCTGCCTGGCCCAGCAGAGCAGCCTGGCTAGGCCCCCTCCCCCCAGCCGACACCTCACTGCTTTAAGCAGCGGTTCTGCCCTGCCCTCCTGAGCAGCCCCCAGCAGCGCAGCCCCCAGCAGCGCAGCCCGCGCTCCTCCCGAGCTCCCCGCGGCGCTCA